CCTGTATCGCTCACCTGGTAATAATCTCACAATTGTAACCTTAAGAGTGGACTAAAATAAAGCTACAGGTAAAATATCAGTGTCTTGCAATTGACTTAAGTCATTCAAAAGAACCTGTTAAAAGATTAAAACACATTTGACCCCTGTGACCTTAAAAGCCAAACATGGACATTAAATTGAACAAACTCTATAGCCTTCCTCACAGAATGGAACTTGAACTTGTCAAACATCACCCTAATGGCCCTATACCTGGTGTTCATTGAGGTGACTTTTAAAGATTTATGCACTGTGGACCAGATGTGACCTTGAAAGTATGTCAAGGTCATTCACATGAACAACAGATCATCCTGGAACCTTAAGTTATTCAGAAGTTGTTTTTAAGTGTTTTTAAGACAAATAAGCCCTGTAACCTTGAATATGAGTGAAGGTCATTCATTTGAACAAACTCTAGAACTGTAGCCCTTTATCCCAGCATGCTACTGGCCAAATATCTTCAGCCTGGACCTCTTGGTTATTTAGAGAAAGTTGTTTAATATTTTAAACATATTTGACCCCTGTGACCTTGACAATAGGCAAAGGTCAATCATTTGAACAAACTTGGTAGCTCTTCATCCCAGCATGCTACTAGCCAAATATTATCAGCCTGGGTCTCTTGGTTATTAAGAAGAAGTTGTTAAAAGTTTTCAACATTTATGACCCCTGTGACCTTGAGTATGGGCAAAGGTTATTTCTTTTCGCAAACTTTGTCAGGCTTCATCCTAGGAACCTATCGGCCAAATATCATGCCTCTTGGCCTTTTGGTTAATCAGAAGTCGTTTAAAGGTTTCAACAAATTTGACCCCTGTGACCTTGAATATGGGACAAATATCATGACATTTGGCTTGTTGGTTATTGAGAAGAAGTCATTTAAATGGAAAAGTTGACGCCAGCCGGACACCGCGCCACAGCATAAGCTCACATGGCCCAAAGGGCCAGGTCAGCTAAAAAGCTTGTGGCTGTGTGTAAAATGAGTTTTTGTAACATGGTCCAACCTGAATATGTTTCAAGACAAAATACAAAAAAATCATCACACAATGCATACACTCCAAACATAAAACAGGTACACTGTGTATATTCCCATGAACAAATAACAGGAAAAAAACGTTTGAAAAGCGAATGAATCAACAAGAACCTACCACAACGGTAGTGTGGCTGAAATGCTTCTACACTCAGAAAAAATACATATTATGCATTTTACACATAACATTAACACATGTATATTCTAATTCCCATTTTAAAGAAGTTAAAAAAAAAAAAAAGATTAAATAAATTTGAATTAAAAAATAAATAAAGTTACCATAATTAAAATAATTTTCAAGATTATCTATATGCAAGAAGTATCAGTATAGCATACCATCAATCAACTATGAGCAATTTGAACATCTTTTATCATAGTGAAGAGGGCCCTGACCTAACCTAACCAATCTTCTTCACATAATTTACTAGTGGATTGGTTGGTTTACAGTGTTTAACGTCCTTTCCACAGCTAAGGTCATTTAACGACATTAAAAAGTCGAATATTTAGTTCATCAGCAGCATCTTAACAATAGCGCAGACAAGTGGATGGGATTCATAAAATGTGAACTGCATTGCAATTCAACCAAAAATAACAACAGATATACAGAGGATTGATATAGTTAGCACCTCCTTTTCAACATTGGCATGTCATTGTTTCTGAACATTCAGATTTCTAGGAATCTAACAAATCGGAATCATTTTGGAATGATTATTGCTTATTAATTAGTAACATGCTTTTGTTAGCTAACATGATTGCTTATTAATTAGTAACATGCTTTTGTTAGCTAACAAGATTGCTTATGAATTAGTAAACTGCGTTTGTTAGCTAACATGATTGCTTATTAATTAGTAACATGCTTTTGTTAGCTAACATGATTGCTTATTAATTAGTAATATGTTTTTGTTAGCTAACAGGAATGCTTTTTAATTAGTAATATGCTTTTGCTAGTTAACATCTATTTTTGTAATTATACATCAATGCTCATACCAATGTTTGTATATATCCTAAACTTACAATCAAATGTAACAAGAGTAAAGTAACAAAAATGCATAACATTTTGTATGGTAAATTACTTAAAAACAAAATAAAATAATGGTGTATTGAAAGACTTACACATATTAATATCGTATTGAATATCTTATATGTCAATATACAGGGGTAATGATACTATAACAGAAAAATACAAAATGTGAAATACCCAGTATAAATCGAACTAATATAGAGATACATGTAACGTCGACAGAACACTGACTTCCGTCAGTGAGATGAAACCTGTAAGGGCGGATTCATGTAGGCTCGAAACCCGTTAACCAACCAACCAAAGAAACATGTATTACATGTAATTTTTGTAGAAGTTCATATTGTCATACCTATACCACTGTAGGTACATTATATGTAATTGTGTAGCCCCTGGAATAGTCCATGGTTCACATTTGACATTGTTCAGTAGAATACGACCGACTGTATACCGGAAAAGTTTTGCTGCAGTTTCATTTTCGCTTTCTTCGCCCTACGTGATGAGGGCAAACTTGTCATTACAGTAAATAGAAGTAAACAGCATAATAAACATTAGTAATTAAATGTAAAGGGCGCAATTAACACTGGGCGAAAATTGATTTCATAGTCAAAGGGAAAAAGTTAAACTCGGCGAAAATGAACTGGTATACCGTCAAAATAACATCAATGACTAATGTAGAATAAAATCTCCAGTAACGAGTGGATTACATGATAAAATGTTTGATTTTGTTGTTAACAAATAAAAGCAACCGTAGTGAATACTCGATATATATAAACTTCATTATAAACATGAACAGTAAAAGCCTCATGTTTCTTACATATATAAACAATACAAAAACACATTTCTGAAAAACTATTAATTATAATAATTAATATGTACGAGTCTCCTGGACTGTATTATAGATGTGATTCATTGTAAATGATGGCAATAATATAAATCAATTGGCAAGTCAGTCACCCTGGCCACAAGTGATGTTTGACAGTATCACAGTCCTTTATTGAAGAACACTTTTTCTGGAAGTACACCATTCCTGTCTGTTCTCATCTTCTCATAAGTAGCAGGTTCAACTGTCTTCAGACGATCAGTTGTGACCGAACTGCAACAAAAGTTAACACAACAAAGGGATATGAAATTATCATCTTAGAGCACAGTAACACTAAACATTAATATACAAAATGAGAAATATTATAACTTGCTTAACTTTCATGGATATTATCAAAATTGACAAGGCTTAAGTCACTAAATCATAAAATTTTAGAAGCTCGAAATAGCAGCCATTACCCTCCCCCATACAAATATGTAATCCCTCATTCTACCCTACCACCAATAAGTCCTAACAGGAAGTAGCTATGCCCCGACACAGTCACTACATCGTGACCTTACCTTCCCCCAACCCTATAACATACTATCAGCTTCAACTTACCACAAATAATTCGTAACAAGAATTAGCCATGCCCTGACACAACTGTTAATCAAACTAATTGCTTAGTTACAGAAATGTCACTTTTACACGACACACACTATTTACAGTTCTGTTACCATAACAAGAGTACCTCGGGGCGGAACAATATACGCCCGTTGAATGCCATATAGTGTTATATACTTTCTTACATTGAAATAAGATCTGCATCATTCTAAGAGTGGTTAGCTGACATGCTATACAAAATGTAGGAGAAAATGGCCGGATAAAAAAATCAAATACTGAAATGAACAAAGGGACTTTTGCAAAAATCATCAAATCAAAATTCTTTTAAGGGAGGCACAACTTCATATCATGATTATAATGTATACTAAGTTTCAAAGAGATCCGTTGAAAAATGTAGGAGGAGATTGCCGGACAAAAATCAAATACTGAAATGAACAAAGGGCAATAACTTTGTAAAAATCGTCGAATCTAAATACTTTTAAGGGAGACACAACTTCATATCATGATTATTAAGTATACCAAGTTTCAAAAAGATCCGTTGAAAAATGTAGGAGGAGATTGCCGGACAAAAATCAAATACTGAAATGAACAAAGGGACTTTTGCAAAAATCGTCAAATCAAAATTCTTTTCAGGGAGGCACAACTTCATATCATGATTATAATGTATACCAAATTTCAAAGAGATCAGTTGAAAAATGTGGGAGGAGATTGCCAGACAAAAATCAAATACTGAAATAAACAAAGGGCAATAACTTTTGCAAAAATTGTTGAATCAAAATTCTTTTCAAGGAAACACAACAACATATCATGATTTTTTAGCCTACTTAGTTTCAAAGAAATCAGTCAAAAAATGTAGGAAGAGATCTCCAGACAAAAAAATCAAATACTGAAATGAACAAAGGGCAATAACTTTTGGAAAAATTGTTGAATCAAAATTCTTTTAAGAAAGACACAACTCCATATCATGAATATAAAGTAAACCAAGTTTCAAAGAGATCGGTGGAAAAATGTAGGAGGAGATTGCCAGACAAACAAAAGTTTACGCTGGACGATGCCATACCATAATACTCCCGTCAAATTTGACGGGCGTATACAAAAAAGACTACTTACCATCTTTGATTAAACAAAGCACAACCCACAGGTACACAGGCTACCAAGCTGTAAAGAAAATAGACTTAAACAGACATGTGCCATCAATTATATACAAACTAACATTCATAAGGTCTTTCATGTTTCAAATTATGACCAGCATATACCTGCAAAGTTCTAAACAAGGAAATGAGGGTTGAGGTTGTAGATGATCAAAATGCAGGTCAAATTGTAATTCATTACTAATGTAGCCTTTTCAAAAACTGTTAAAATCCCTTTTTTTATCATTATAGTAATAAAGTTTTTCTAGAAAGTATTTTAATATTTGAAGCTTTAAAATGGTGAATTTGAAACATTGTTAATGTCAGAATAAGCATTACATATGCAAAAGATTTCAAAATATATCGCAATCAGTGCAGGTCATGGAGGTAATTTTCAGGCTGACCTGCACAAATACATGTGACAGGGCTAGTTAGACCAATGATACGCTAAATTTTATCTATAAAAATACATAAATATACAACATTTGATATAGCGCATATCTAGCTAGAATAAGCTACTACAATCAATACATTTAGCATATTCATTAATCAATACAATTTTGAGGAATTTGCAGGAGCTGCCTTATCAGGTGATAACTACTAGTCCTATATGCCACCTGGCTAACATCTCCCTATGTGTGTGTGCCTGCGTGTGTGCTGGAGATGTATTGTGTTCTGTTTGTAGTTGGACTGTGCTTCCAACAGTATCATTTATAGTGCCCTCACTTGAATGTTATAGCACAGATACCACAACATCCACCCAGACCTGGGTTGTTGGAGTTGTGTGGGCAGGAGAAAACACATTCTCTGAATATTCCATGCAAATGACGACTTTGGGGAGCGAGCCCCGGTCGCCTGTGTGCAAGGCCGGAGTGTTAACTACTCGACCAATCTGCCCTTAATAGATTCTCTTGGTGTAAGGAATACTGCAGAACACTATAATACCACTATTGTTTAAACATCATGACAAACAGTTCTACAAAGCTGAATATAAAGAAGTATCAATTTCCACTACAAAGCAAAGCCAAAATATTTTTTTAAATAAGTACCAAGGTAAACTTTTAACAAAATGTATCTGTTATTATGGATTTGTTTTGTTTGTGCTTTACGTCCTAACAGCTATGGTTATTTAAGGATGAGCCAGGTTTTGGTGGTTGAGGAAAAAAGGTACCTGAAAAAACCACCTATCTGCAGTCAGTACGTGGCAAATGCCCCGTGTTGACTTTGAACCTGCAACCCAGTGTTGGAAGGCTAGTGATCATTGATGGTTCGATGCCTTAACCACTCAGCCACTGTGGCCCTTATTATTATAAGTCATTACCACATTAAGGTAAAACAAGAGGCCCAGAGGGCCTGTATCGCTCACCTGGATATCTAAGCAATCATGGCAAAATATTCTTTAAAGAAAATCCCAGGGATAGGGCTAGACCCTGAGGCCAATCCTTGTAGCATATCTGTATTAGATTTTGTAATGTGGTTATGGGTTTGGGATCTCAACTGTTTCCAAGTTGTGACTCAGAAACTAGGTCCCTAGGGTTGTGGCCAGACCCCAGGGTCAATTCTAATATGATGACTGCATTCGTCTCTTTATGACCAGCATTTTTAGGTCATGAGACAAAGTCTCAAGTGACCCATTGCGATCGCCTTTTGTCCGTCGTCGCTCGTCCGTAAACAATTTACATTTTCGACTTCTTATCCAAAACCCCTAACCAATTTCAATGAAATTTTGCAGAAACCTTCCATGGCCAAAGGTCAACAAAACCAGTGGCTGATTTGGTCCCCGGCCCCCAGGGGCCTGAGGGGCGGGGCCAAAAAGGGTCAAATTGACAAATATTTCAAAAATCTTCTTCTCAAGACCCAGATATGGTAGATTCATATACTCTTCATAGATAGAAGGGTCTTAAGGTGCTTTACCAAAATTGTGAATTTCTTGACCCTGGGGTCTCACGTTTCCCCCTGGGGAGGGGATACACTTTACTATAGTTTATATAGGAAAATCTCATTTTCGCTCTACCAAAATTGTAGATTTTATGACCCAAGGGTCTCATGTTTACCGCTGGGAAGGGGGTATACTTTACTTTAGTTTATATAGGGAAAAAATAGGCAAAATTTATTATGGCAAATGATACTTTGAAAATTACATATTGATAACTTGATTGGAATTATAACCCTGAGTTGACAGTTTGATACTTTGAACATTTTGAGCCAGCTCTTCCCCCAAGGGCGCCCAAAGGAGTGAGTATGCTAAAATTTCTTCATTTTACTTGTTTAGAATCAGAGGTGCTAAATTCAAATACTTTTCAGTCTTAAATCTGTATGCTAGATATTGAATAAGGTTGTTTTATTGTTTTTTGTCACTTTGAATAATTCTTCTGTTCATGTTTTAAAAACAACAAGAGGCCCAATGGACCTGCA